GAGGGGGCGGTGGGGGAGGAAGGCTGCCTCTGCAGTGGGGTGAAGGCAGCCCTCCTGGCAGGGGGCTGCCGGCCCCCCGGGTCATGCCTGAGGCATGGATGTCTCATGTCATGCCTGAGGCGTGGGTGATGGGGTGCTGGGAGAGCTGTGGAGCACCTGCACAGCATCGTTGTGGACCCTCACACTTGGGGAAACCTCGTGGCATAGCGACTCCCTTCTGGGGGCAGCAGGTGGCATTTGGGATACCTACATACGTTGCCTTTTAAGGTGACTTTGAAAAGTGTGCAGTTTTGTCATGTGTGTCTTACATTACTGAGGTAATGTGTGAGTGCTGTCAGCAATTTCGGTATTGCTTTCTAGCTGTGCAGGAGAACTAATTTCTGCTAAAGATATTAGCGTGCATTTAGAGGTGGGCAGGGGGTGTAACACCATAAGAAAGAAAACAAGATAAAAAAGACTGTATCTTTGTAGATGATAATAATTTAGACTTGGGTTTGTGGCTTCCTGGAACAGCTTTGGAATGAGTATCAGTGATCTACCAAATTCATCAGTGGGCTGGGGCCGAGGAGATGCATGCATGGTTTTCATGTAGGGTATTTATAGAATAAGTAGATCTCAGGAGCTGCTGATGAACATGCGGTTTAGTCATCACTCGCTCTAGAATGATATTCCATAGCGTTTCTGTATAAAGGTTGGCTGGCAATTGTATTTTTGCATGCACTAAATTTAAAATGTGTGTACAGGAGCTGTTTGTAGGAGAGAGAAGAGGACATTTGGGTGTTTCAGAAGCTGATCTGGTTTTCTTCACACTGGCAGGATGAAGCATTCAGATATATAATGCTTATTTTCTAAATACCTTTCAGAAAATCAAAGTAGCATGAAGGCAGAAGGGGGGAGGGGGAAATGACCTCTGAATTAAGGCCTGTAAATTAGAAATTGCTTCAGTCCCCAAGCACTAATTTGCATAAAATCAGAGGCTGTTTTCCTGATTGATTTAAAGCATGTCCCCGATGGAGCGTGCTGGCAGTTCAGGTTCCCATCGGCAAGGAGCATTGAACGGCTTTGCGTTACACTCGTGGTCATGCTGGCGACGGGGTGGCTTTTATCCAGGCAGCCTCAGAAGCCATCACTGCGACGGGCACCTGTGATGCCCAGATTCAGGAGTGCCACCCCAGGGCCCAGTGGGTGCTGGCAGGTCTTGGGCTGGCACCAAGGAAAAGGAGCAGAGGTCTTAAAATCCACCTCACGCCCTCGGAAAGGAGTCATCATCCCCGGGTCACGGGAAGGAGTGCTGGAGCATGGGAAGGCTCCGACATTCAGTGCAAATGCACTTTATCTGTATCTGGCAGCTGCATGGCATCTACTGCTTCTGGGCAAAAGAGTATTTCTGTGTAACAGCAGCAGCCATTGCAGTCGTCGTGTCGCGCTGCGGCTGTTCCCCCCCTCTCCCGCATGTATTTCGTTTCTGTTCGCTTGGACCTAGTGAGGGTAACTCTCCTCTGAAGGTTCCCCTTGCTCTTGTCAGTTTAATCTGCAAAATCTCTCCTTTTTATTCCCCTGCTGGGTTTCCTGAGGGCTGTGTCTGGCAGCTGTAATCGCGGTCTTGTGACAGGGACCAACTGGGACTGCAAACCGGTATTATTTATGGCCTCGTTCTGATCTGCAATCTAGGTCAGCAAGGGAGCTTGGCATAGTTTGTTATGCCAGCACCTTTGAATGCCGGCAGTCTTCCCAGGAAAGAATCCCTTTAACCCCTTGACCGTCTGCTGTGCTCCAAGAGCTCCCCTGAATGGTGTTTCTAAACCCATGGGTATATATTCAATAACAAGCAGTATTAACTTTGCCTAGTCTGACTAGGGAAAAAAAAAGTCCTTAGGCATCCTTGGGGCACAGCACTAAAATGCTTGAAGAGTTTTATGCCTGAATTCAATAACAAACATGAATAAAATTGATTTTTTTTTTCTTGAAAGAGCAAATAAGAACCCTTAGAGCAAGATTTATTTCAGTGTTTTATGCTGTTGGGCATTTCCTGTAATTTTGACTTGTTTTGAATTAGGGAAAAAATGTACTTCAGTGTCCTAGTCCCCAGTTTTCCATTTCACAAAAGTACTAAATGGGTTGTTGCATTTTGAAAGCACTGAAGTGGATTGCAAAAGGTTCCACATTTATTTTGTTTTTAAATAAATTAAATCACTTTAATTGCTAATTATGTGTTGCAGAACTGCTAAGATAACTTTTAGTTCTGCAGTGTTGTTAAAATTTAAAATAAACTATAACTTTCAAACACAAAGAGAATTTCCCTTTTCTGGTGCATCTAAGACTGTTTCAGACAAGGGGAACATAGAGGTCTCCTCCTGCCCAGGGGGAGGTGGTGACTCCTTAAAAATCTTGCCTGGCAGTCCTAATTCTCAGTAGCCTTGCTCACCTCTAGCCCTACTTAATAAACTTGCTCTCCCAAATATGTACTGATGAGATTAAGGTCTTAATTCCATCATTTTTTTCTATGGGGATGGATCCTGATATTTTGCTCCTACCCAGGCAGACCAAACTAAATTTCAGATAAGCAATGCTACAGTCATATGTTTTAAGCTGCAAAGTTGGCTGGCTGCAAAAAGTAGACCTGTTGGCTGGGTGCATTATTTGAACAGGCTCTTCTGCCCACACCTTTCAACTTGTACCTTTTGTAGTTAAGCTTATCCTGGACTGCTTTGGCAGCTACAGAAGGACTAAAGCTCCTGGTCTGAATCCCAGCATCTGGTAAATATGAGATACGTGTACTGTTCCTGGGGGAGGAAACCTAGGAATTATCCTAGAGCTGGATGGCTGAGTATCACTGGTGAAGTAAGTCAGGAAACATCAAAGTCTGTTAAGATCTTTTCATTATACAAGGTTGGTTTATTACATCTAAATAAACAACATTAATGAAGTTTAAGCCTAATGAATTGCTCCTTACAAAACGTAAAACATCTGGAACGGTCTGTCTGATTTTGTACGTTACTGGAAGGTTCTTTTACCTTGTTTCATTGCTGCTAGTTTTTAAATGAGTGGATATCAAACTACTGAAAAGCACCCTAAAAAAGATTGCTAGTAGCTCTACTGGTAGCAAGGCATTCTTTTGGACTTCTTTGACAGCCACATACTGTTGCAAATGTATATACTTAGCATCATTTTTCTCTTCTCCTCCCTTTTTAATTATTTCCTTTCACAGAATAAGGCAGAACCAGATGTGTTTCATCTGGTTGAGAGTGCTGTTGACCAGATTTTCTCGCTGCTTACTTACATGTTCTTCTTTTGTACAGGTAAAAGAGGAATGCAGGCTCCTGAATGCTCCCCCCGTCCCACCACGGAGTTCAAAGCCGTCCTCCACCAGTCCTTCCATCCCTCCTCGTACAGTCAAACCTGCACGACAGCAAACCCGCTCTCCTAGCCCTACTCTGTCCTACTACTCTTCGGGACTGCACAACATGTATGTGTTTGAGCTGTGAGAGCCCCGTGCTAGCACTTTTTGAGAAAGTTAAATTTAGCGGTATTCTTTTTGAAGGCGCTTGTTTATGAAGCCATGGTACTATGTTCAGAGTTGCTGACTTTTTGTGAAATGGGCTAACCTGTCAAGTTATTTTTAAAGATTAAAGAGGAAGCAAAGCTCCAGCAGAAACTGTATTTTACTGGATACAACATAGCAATTTATATTAAATACCTGCACATAGTGCTATACATAATCTTACTGTAAGGTGGCACAGGCTGTCTAAATTGAAAATTCCATATAGTTCTGTAGAATTCTTGAAAGGCTTGAATCTTCAAACCAGAACATCTCAAAGGTAGTTTTTGGGTGGGATTTTAGTGCTACATGCATGCAGTGCAGCCAGCTCTGATAAGTGGGGGCATGAAAGGGGTGGGGTAATCCAGAAATGTGTTGTGCCAACTATATGGGAACCTACAGGGTGGGTGTGATGGAGAACAGAGAGGCCAGCAGACACCACTGAGTGAAAAGTGAGGTGTAGCGGAAGGAGGCCAGACAGCTTCCAGATCAAACCCACTTCAGCACAAACCTAGCCCACAAACTAGAAAATCCACTCAGGCTAGTCGAAAGTTGACAGTAGATTTTTAATTGTGTGGATGCATACCTTTTCCTAGCAATGCAGTGTTCTTCCTTTGGCTTTAGAAAGTGTATATACCTTTTGAAGTCTCACCTTTTTGACTTGAATGTCTTGTGGCCATTATTTTTGGTATCTGTTCAGTGACAAGATACTACCTGTCTGGATGTTACAAATTGATCTGAAACGCCACTGAAATCATTTCAGCCTAGATGCAATTAGTATAATAACTTATGCTGGAATTGCCTTTCTAGGCCATGCTGCACATTTGCAGCTTAGTGTTGTGTATCTGGCAATGATCACTCTAGATCAAGGCTGCTCGTCTGTTTTTATGAAAGCCTGTTGGGTAGTTCTGTCAAGGTCTACTCCACAGGAGGCACAAGACCTCCCAGCATTTGAGGCCCACCAAATGCTGCTTTCTCTCTTTGTAGCTAAGAATCCATCTGCCTCCCAAGACATGAGGAAAACAGTGAGAAGTGAAGTTTCTCAGAAATGCAGGTGGTATTATTTGCCTCAGACTTCACAATATTTGCATGGAATTCATCTCCAGCCTGGGTTCAGAACCAGATATCTCCGTCTTGGTAGACTTGACCTAGTGCTGCAGAGGAAGCTGCTAGAAAATTGGCAATGTGTGGAGTAACCAGATTGCTGGTGAAGTTGCTTTTCAAGTCTTGCCATTTTTATCAATGATCTCATTTTCTGGATTGTGAAGGGTTGCAGCCAATATTTTAAACACAAACAAAACCAATACGATTTGTCCTTATCTGCCTATAAAAATGCCTGATGTCTGACTTCAGCTGTATTTGAGGTTTCTCTTGCATCCTTTGGCACTGAGTCCCAGTGAGTTAATTTTGGTGGAAGAAGAATAAGGAATCACTTTGAAAATGTTACTTTATTGGTTTTCAGTAATTCCGTTAATCTTTTAAATCATTAAATGTTCCCATTTCTAGTATTGAATTAGAGAACAGAAGCAGGATCAATCACTTTAATTCCTCTGTATGGTTAGTTGTTTACGACACCTCACTGACTGTCTTCTCTGAATTGAACAGCCTGATGACTAGATTTGTGAAAAATGCTTCGCACTGTGTACGTTACAGCAGTTGGCCTTTAAACAGCCAGAAAAGACCAGTTGACAGTGTATCCTTGTTGAGGAGGAAAAAAAAATATCTACTATTGTAAACATCCAACTGCTTTAACTTGCAGACTTGTATTTGTGACATACACAGGAAAAAAGAAAAGTTTGGAGGGCACGAAGTGTAGTGCGAAGGATGGTTAGACAGAGAGGGAAACTGCATCTCTTGGGGCTGAGTTTTATAACTAATTTTCCAGTGAAATACATTAGAGCTGCTTTTACCATCTGCACTTTGTGTTTGAACTGGGCAAGTCCAGGTTGGCTTCCTCTCTGACTCACTGTAAGTGCACGGGGAGCTATTTTTTGTGTCAATCCACTGAAAACTGTGCTGGTTTTTTGAAAGCTGCTGCCCTCCTCAAGCAGTTTTCACTGAGCGGTCACAGAATGACTACCTAGTTTCTTTCTTGAGTAGTTCATTTTCAGGAGAGAGAGGTGAGTAATTAAAACAATTATTTCAGCTGTTGGTTTCCCTCTGTTTTGTTAGGTAAGGATTTTATAAATCTGCTAATTGTTTTTACAGTGTTCTGGCTTAATTGGTCAGAATTCCAGAGATCAACCCAATCCTTCAAACTTTCTAAAAGAAAGTGGCATAAAAGCAGCAAATATTTGCTTTTCATAACAGATTGCATGCTTTTGTTGGCATCTCCGTCTCTCAGGAGCACCTGGATATAAACTATCTGTTCCCTCAGATGGGCTGAGCTTAGGTTACCCCCTGAAAGTAGGTCAGGGTAACTTTCTTTAGGTGCCTTTGAAAAGCAGGTGTTTCTTGTTATAGCTTTTTAAGGGTACGGACACACAAACAAGTTACTGTGGGGTAAGCTTAAAGCCTGATACTTCAACACATACAGCTAGGTCTGCTTACCCTTCCAGGTAAAACTCTTCCTTTGGCAGGAGGCATTAACTTATTCCGTGCTGTTGTACTGTGCACTAGTGCGGTTTTTGCAGCGGTGACCAGTGGGGAAGGATCCTGTGCCCTGTGCAGATGCAAGTGCCATAACAAATGAAAATGTTGGCTCCAAAAGGGCTATTGGTCATCTCTTATGTCAGTCAAGGTTGGGTCTAGTGCAATGGTGACCTGCCCCTGTTACGAGCTTTTTGGGGGTATACAAATACAAAATACAGGATTAGAACATCTTCTAGTATATGTGAGGCTGTTCCTTTTCCATGGTGGTGTCCCTCAGGAATTCAACAGTGGAAAAACTGAGTATTCGGGAGATGACACAGAACTGAATTGAGACGTCTACTTTTTTACAAGCTTGGAAAACCTAGATGTGAGGCTTTGGGGTATATCAACGTCTTGTCAGGCTTGTAGAAGGAGTAAAAGAACTGTCAGTGCGTTATCCAAACGTGTTGTTAATTCAAATCTGAAAAGTTCTGCCAAAGGAAAGAAGATTCTTTCCTTGTGACAGCCACCCTCTGACTCTGTCAGATGATTTATGAATTTATTCAGATGCCGCATTTTTCCGTACTAATGACATCCTTTCTGCTTTGTTCCTTAAGCAGTGTCACAGAGAGCGACAACAGCAACCCAACTGAGAGCACACCTGTTTCCTGCTACCCTTGTAACATGATGAAAACCGAATCCAAAGAGCCTGAGAGCACGATGCCTTTGGGAAGCCCCTCAACCGAAGCTCTGCCTTCGAGGTTATCTTGGCCAAACCATTTTTCAGGAACTGCTGAAGGCCTGAATAGGAGTGATTTCCTGCTCGATCCGAGCAGGAGCTACAGTTACCCCAGACAGAAGACTCCAGGTACGCCAAAGAGAAACTGTCCAGCACCTTTGACTTTTGACTTTGATGGGTGTGAGCTCCCGGCGGGGTACTCCCCGCTGACCCCAGCAGAGTTATCGAACACCATCTCTAGTTGTCCAAAGTCGGCGAGTTACTCTCTAGACTGCACTGATGAGAAAACTCTGGGAGTCAGCAACACAAAGCAGAGCCATTCATGTCCTGCCTTACCTCCTCGGGCACCGAAGTCAAGTGAAGAGAAAACGGTTGCAGACGTGTGTCCCTTGCCACTGAAAATAGATGGTGCTGAGGAGGAGTCGAAAACTGGTTCTCCAGACCTCTTGGAAGATCAGTATCTTGTTAAAAAGGGCATGCAGGATACGTTCTCTGTGTCTTATCCCTTCTCGTCTCCCCTCCACCTCCAGTTAGCACCAAGATCTTGTGGAGATGGCTCTCCCTGGCAGCCACCCACGGACCTTTCTGGCCTCTCGATAGAGGAAGTGTCTAAATCCCTGAGGTTTATTGGTCTGTCAGAAGATGTCATATCGTTTTTTGTTACAGAGAAGATTGATGGCAATTTACTGGTTCAGCTTACAGAAGAAATCCTGTCAGAAGACTTTAAGCTAAGCAAATTGCAGGTTAAGAAAATACTACAGTTCATTAATGGCTGGAGGCCCAAGATGTGATGCCAACTAGTTATTAGTGAAACTGTACGAGATGTGCTCGATGCACTTCAGCTAATACATCACTTCCTGGTTTTTGCACTAAAAGCCCTTCCTGTAAATAGTAGTAGAAAAATTCTTACTATGCAGATAAACATTTTTGAGTGGTGAATGGATTTTTTTTTTTTTTTTGTATGTCAATAATAAAGGTAGAGAATCTGAAGAGGTGTGCCTTGTGCATCCCTGAACGTTTAACAGCTGCTAAAAACTGGACACTAAGGGAACTTTTACTCCATAGTCTGTTAAGACTTAGTCGTATTTATTACTGAACAATTTGATGCTGAAAGACACACACCGATCCAGTTTACAGTTTTGTGTTAACGGCAAAAAAAATGTATTTCTTACGGGATTATTTCTGTTCAAATAATATTTGGCAACATGCTGTGACTTTCTTCTGTTTCTGTTAACAAAAAGCATGTTCAGGTATACAAAAACATCGTTTTGACACTACATCTGAAAATGTTAAGAATTGCTGTGAAGTGCCACTAATACACTATTCTTGCAGCATATTTTTATTAACAGTATCTTCCTGACTACCTGTAACGTGGATACATTTTCCATGTTACTTTGAGCAAAAAGAGTTAAATGTTTTTAAAACAAGAGTCTTGCTTAGCTCATTGCCCAGAGGGGAGGGAGAAGGGGGATTTTGCTACTGAGCCACTCTGCCCTGGCCAATTAAAAGTTTATGACCTGTAGATTTCAAAAGTTGCTTTTGTAGTCGGATGGCTGGAGTCAGTAGCATGACTTCTGGTCATGCAGCTTTCTCATGGGAAAGGCAGTTCGGTGCACAGACCCTTCTCTTGGCAGATCCTGCCTGCCGCAGTGGCCTGCTAGCACAGCCCTTGCAATAGCCTTGCTCTGGCGAAAGGCAACCCCTTATATTTCCTCTGCTGCTGTTACGATCATCTGAAAATGGGCTCGATGTGCTATCCTATTCCTGCAGTCGGATCTGTGTGGGAGGGTGATAGTACTGTAGGATGCCTTTGAAATAAAGCATTAGCGAGGTGGGACAGAAACAGCACATGGCACACTGGTAAGAAGGGGCCACGTGAGGGTTTGGGAAATGCTGGTGATGTTTAAGTTCACCTGTCTTGTTTGCAGTGGGCTAGGAGGATGTGGGTGTCAAAGTGGGAGGGACTGTAGCATCGTAAGGTGTGCTAATTCAGTTGCCCAGCTGCAAAAACTCACTGCAATAGATGTCACACAGAAGTAGCAGTCAAAAGGGAGCACAGAGATGGGAAGGGGACATTAGGCTGCCCCTGGAGACCTTTCAAATTTAACTGCTCAGAAGGCTAGAAATAGGATTAACTTTTGATAGTCCCTTGCTGATTTCCTGTGCTTGGCAGAGCTCTCCGAAATGTGTCTGAATAACCCCAGGATCCTCTGCTTTTGTAGCACTGAATTGCAAGGATTTGTGGAGGTCCTCAGGAAACAGTCTGTGGCGTCCATCCTCAGCAACGGTGTGTGCCCAGGACCCTCAGGTGGTCAGAGCCAGGGATGCTGGGGCAGCTTCACCTTCACCTGCTGCTGAGCAGAGCCCTGGCCAGGATGGCAGCATCACCTGCCTTTCTTACCTTTTTGAAGTACAAAAAAAATCTCTCTTTTTCCATTGTAAGGTACATAGTGGGACCACCAAGAGGAAATACAGAGAAGGGACAAAAATGAGAGGCTGCTTTTGCCTGTTTTCTCAACCATACTGACTCATTAAAAAGAATTTATTTGCAAATGGAGTTTTCTGTTGCCCAGGCAAATTTCATGTCATGTCTCCATGCCGAAGCCAAGATGCATCATTTGTCTTGCAATAATGCAAACCACCAGTTCCCAACCAGAGAGCAAAGCCCAATTGATGTGGGTACTGGAAAGCAGTGAGCCAAAAAATATCCCAATAGAAAAACCCCAAGAGTTCATAATCCTACTCTTTTTCTTCATGTATTGACTTTTAGCAACCGATCAATAGCTTTCTCCAGATGTGTTTTAATTAGCGTCCTAAAATATTTTAGCTGCAAGTAAGACTAAATCAAATTCAAATACCGTTCATATGTGTATGCTTGTTGGTAGGCATCTGCAGGTTGAAGTCAATTACATTTTAACCCTCACTATGTCAAATGAATGTTCAAATTTGAAAGGGCCAAATTTTAAATGTCAGGTACTTCTCTTTGTTTTGCTTGGCTTGTTAATTCCAGGTAAAAAACCTAAAATCTCTCTCAAAAAAAAAAAAAAAAAAGAGAAGATAGCAGTCTCGGTAATATTAACATTAAATATTTCAAATGCCCTCAGGATATTAACATCCCTGAGAAAATAGTGTTGTTCGACTACAGATGGATACCTATTCCGTTATCTCTGCTTACCTTCTTGCAAGCAGCCTGGAATTTGTGGAATTTGCATTCATGAGTGTGCTGCATTAACATCACGTGTGCATAGACCAAAATACAACAGGCCTGTTGAAAGGCCCAGAAATGCACAATGATTTCAGAAGCAGATCCTGTGTGCAAAAGTACAGCTAAAACCTGTAATTGCAAGCTTGCTATTGATGTCCTTCTTGTCTTGTTCTGGCTTGGCACTGCTTACTTATTTTTATGCATACTATATTAGCATTTGACCTTTTCTTTTGCCCTTAGCAGCTCATCACCTCAATTTTACAAACTTAGTGATTTAGGTGTTCCTAACGTTTGTGTTGTGTGAATTATATGACTGCAGAGGCGAGCCACCTGCTGTGATGCCCAAGCTGGACTGAAGCGTCTGCTCTGGTGAAATCAGGAGAGGGGTGAGCAAACCAGGCAGCTGGAGTATGGTGGCTCAGCCTCTCCACCACTGTCTAGGTGGCCAGGCTATGGCAGCACTGATGCCCGTGGGATCTAATTTATTTGCTTTCCTCTTGAGCTTTGTTGTCGTGGTGTTAGCAGGTCAGGACCATCTTTGGTGCTGTAGAATGCAGTCTGAACAGGGCAGACCAATGTAAGCACGTCGGTCTCATGGGAAGTCCCTGGCAATAAAGGGATGGTGGCACCTTTTGAAATGGGGCAGGAGCAGAGGAGTCCTTCAGGCCTTAACAGAGAACCACACAGTCTCTTTAGAAGGATGGGGTATAAAACCTGGAGACTTAAATCTGTAAAAGGTTACAAAATGCTGCACTGCTTATTGTACTTCGAGATGGAGGGTTACTTTAATTTTCCTGCTGTGATTACGAAGTGTTTGAAAGCTCTGGGGAATATTCCTGTAATATGAACTTTTTAGCAGCTGATGTGAATAGGAGGAGATGGCACTCAGAGTTTGGTAGGACTTGCAAACCATCCTAGCAAACTGAGCAGCACCAGGGCACTTGCACTCTCATGGGAGTCCCTTGCTGCTGAAACGTTGATGTGGGCTTTTGCCTGGTTTGGTGCAACCCAACCCAACCAGATCAATGGGTGATCCCAGACAACTCCCAAGCACAGCTCAGAGGTTAGCAGTGGGGGAAAACAGCCTGGTTTTGGAGAGAATGGAGTTCAGCCTGTTGATGCAAGCTGTGGTGGTTGTCATTGGGGCCTGAGAGCAGGCTCTGGCCCATTTTGACTACGAACAGAGATGTAACCATTGAGTTCAGACAGCACACGTCATGCCAGAGTGGACCTAAAATCTTTTACTTTTTGGAGACACTCTGCTACAATAGGCCAACCCTAACCTTGAACTTCTTTCCTCAGATTAAATAAATGTAAGGCCTCTGGTGCTTATTTAGTTATCGGTGTCTGAAGTTGTGTGTTGTCCTCGGGGGTTTTGTTTGTCTGGGGGTTTTGGTAGCAACAAATCTGGCATGTCATTCTGTATGGAGCTGTCTCTTTGTCCTGCACCAAGAAACACATCCTTTCTATGCAACAGTCATGTGGCGGCGCAAGGACTGATGCTGCCTTCAGCAGCGAAAGCTGGGTTCTGGCACGGGGGCTTTTCTGGAGGTGGACACAGAATTGGCCAGGGGAGGAATGGGGAGGAAACTTGAGGAGAAATGCTGGTTTCCTTTAAACGCTCGTTGTGCCTGGGATTAAGATTCTTTGTATTGCTGCCTCGCTGGCTAACCAAAGCTGTATTGAAATCAACTCAAAGTGCATATTTGCGTTCTTATTCTTGCCGTATTGTAAAATTGCCTATGGCTAGAAACTTAGAGACAGAAAACATCCAAAATTAGAAGGAAAATGTATTTTGAAGTGTTCTTTGCAGCTAGAAGCAAGGGTTTGAAGTAACTGTATATTACACAGGTTTTTTTTTTCCAATACAAGTTTTACTTGCCACTTTAATTGACTTTATTCCACAACAACAGCTTCTAGAGAAACAATGTAAATAGCGATGCTGTCTCAAAACACACCGTGTTTCAAATCTGTCTATAAATACTAAGAAGTGTTTTCTCCTATGTTTTCTTCTTGAATCAACTCCTTGATTGTCTCCCCGCTAAATAAAGTGTGCTGGCAGCAGTTACTTGCATGCTGCCCAGCGGGGTGCCTGCCTGCATCGCAAGTCAGCGAAGTCCTGCCTGCGGGCCAGGCAGGGGGTACGCCATGCTACTTAAAAGCCGAACACCAGCTCTGTGTGAAAGGACAAGGGCTTAGCTCAGCTCTCCTGGCTCCTCTTTTTGATGCTCTGAAATTGCAGCGTTCCTGTGTGTGAGGTAGAAGGTACGAATGAAATTGTAATCAAAGTGAGGGATCGTCCATTTTATTTGCGGTATTAGGGATGGCAGGGCAGTAGGGAAATGCAGGACCCTTGTTGAGACCTAGCAATAAATGACTCTTCATTTGTTATGTCTTTAGCTCCTAATAGTCAGGGAGTTGTTCAGACTTTACCATTTCTGTGTGTAATAACCAAATTTTCAGTGTGAAAATCTGCAGAGTGATCCTCTTGACTTGGACAATCTTCTGAATTATATTAAAAATATCTGTTAGTTCTTAGCTCTTTAGATTCACTTCGGGTAGGTCAAAAAAGTAACACTTGGGAAAAAAAAGAGAAAGCCCCAAAACTTTGACTTAGTACATTTCTGTTATAAAATGAAGCATGGGTTTTGTGGAATTCTGTGCTGTTCTGGGCTTTTGTGTAAAAG